AAATCAAAATAATAAATACGCATTTTCTATAAATAAACCATCATGATACTGGTTGTACCAGAGGGCAACCCTTGAGCTAAACCATCATGATATTCTGGAAGCGAATGGGGATGGGAATTTGGCATCCCCTGAATTTCAAACTTCAGGCTGCCCCCAGAGTGACCAGATTCACCAACACTAGACTGATTTGCAACTGATCTCACCCTTACCAGAGTGGGTAAACTATTAGGCACACTACATGATGCCCCATGGTGAAATACATTATCCAAGAGTGGACTATTTGGGTTACCATTCGTGAAGTGTGAACCAAGAATAGTTCCGTTGTTTGTATTAGATGTGATTCCCCCAAGTGAATATGGGCCTGGTAAAATTTTTAGGGCACAACATGAACATGTTTCCTATTGATAGAAATCTAATCAGCAGTGTCTATTATGAGAACTAATATACCAGAAAGGAGAGTACACCAAGTTCCTCAACTGCCTCCTTTTCAGCTGCCTCCTTTTGCTACTTCAATAAATGGCTATTTTCTCCACAGATGTCCTTCTCTTGTGGGCTCACTAGAGTAACTCCTTACCTTAATGAAACATAACTTCCTTGTCACCAGATCACATTATAGCAGAGTAACCCGAGAGAGATTAATTTCCTCGTAAACACACATCTGGAACTCCAATTTATCAAATAAAGAGGATGGCTTTTAGGCACGCTAAACTAAAGGTCAACTTCATACAAACACCACCCCAAGAAAAAAAAAGGAGACCAGAACTTCCTTGTCACCAGATCACATTATAGTAGAGTAACTCGAGAGAGATTAATTTCCTTGTAAACACACGTTTGGAACTCCAAATTCAGTATACTCTCGCTCCAATTATACCTGAACTGTCCACGTTTGAAAACAACAAAAGATAAAGGGATAATGAAAAAGAGAACAAGAAGAAGTAATCATATTTCCAGAATATTGTCAAAACTTCAATTGCAAATTTAGACATTTTATTACTAATAAGAAAAGCCATAATTATCATTAGCTACTATAATGATTCGCAGACAGGACCATATCACATTGATTATGAACCAGACAGATGAACAATATTAAACAGGATCTCCTACTGCATCCACAGTTCTTGCCATTCTTCAGTAGCCTCTTCCTGGGAAAAAAATCAAATCAAATTCATATAAGTGTCATCTCTCCACACCTTCCATTTTATTACACAGACAGAGGAAATTTTCGGAAAGAAGTAAAGGTGATTGTCAGGAAACTGCAGCTGAAAACAGAAACTCTAATTGCCACTTACAACATGAAATTCACTTGGGTTAATGATAATGTACTATATCCGAGTGATATATAAATTTCGTGCACTAGTTATAATTAGAAAATTAGCAATATTTCCAGATCCTTAAAAATTCCACTCAAACAAGCAACCATACAATCAAAATGCATAATAATGTCAACAGACAATTACCCAGCCCTCGTCCAAAAGCAGCGAAAAAGGCATTCTGCACTGGCGAAATCATAAATCCAATTGAAGTTTCAAATTATACGAATCAGTAAACCAAAAAATTAAATACCTGTGTGTAATTCAATAATTGACCAAAAATTCACTTAAAGGGCAAAATAACTAAATCGACAAAAAAGGAAAAACAAAAAATCGAGAGCGGAAAGACGAAGCCTTCTTCTAATTGAAACTCAGTTGGAGGCGGAAAGATCCGGCCGTCAGAGCTAAATATTCTGTCCGAATTTTGGCCAATATCATAAGGTTCCATCCCGTTGCCATTTGAGAGCGGGACAGATTCAGGATTCCCCTTTTATCGCCNACCTGGCACACCTTTCCGACCGCGCCTTTCCCGATAAACTCATCTGTGATCTTCCCACTGGGACCTCCACTGTGAGATTTAGGCGGGCTTGGTACAGTAAGCGTTGCGTGTGGTTTTCTCTTGAGGTCTTGGTACAAATTGAAGAGTATGGGAAAGAAAAATAGAGATGATAGAGATGTACCCCAGCAAAGAGATTAGGGGAAGAAGAGAGGAGAGGTGGAGGAACAAAAGTTAGGGCTTGTTTTAATGTTGGTGTAGACTCATAAAAAAATAAGGCTTTTTTCGCAACGTTTTAAAAACGTTGCAAAAGGTATCTTTGGCAACCTTTTTTAAACATTGCAAAAGACGCTTTTTCGCAACGTTTAAAAACCGTTGCCAAAGATACTTTTTGCAACGTTTTTTAAACGTTACGAAAGACTCTTTTTCGCAACGTTTAAAAAACGTTGCCAAAGGTACAAAATTTCGCAACACTGCCAAAACGTTGCAAAAAG